AATGATATTGTCGAATGCAGACGAGTCAAATCATCTCGGCTCATGGTTGACTTTCATCGAAAATTTGTGAATACTTGACATATCGTCAACACACAATGCGACCTCTACGAAATCTACGAACTGCCATAGGAGTTGAAAATCTGATAAATTGGTGATGACTCTGTAATCTCGCTCCTTATCCATATCCAAGCTCACTAATCTACACCGCAACGCCTTTGCTTCCCGTGTGTAGAAGATGAGTAACCTTCTCGGATATGAAGTTGGACTGAATGTTCCCCGATCCTTCCTTGCACTTCAAGGAATGGTCCTGACCCTTCAAACTTCCCGGTACGTCAATTGGCTTGGACATATCCAAGCCATTGAGGATCGCCTTACTTCTCTTCTGAACATCATCATTATCTTCTCGGGCCATTCTGATTCCCTTAGTCTTCGTCTCGAGAGATTTGGCCGATTGGGCATCTCCACGAGCGACTCTTCCTGACCGGGCAACCCACATCGGCCGCAACGAGGGTGAACGTAGTGTGTACAGCCGTCCAACAACAGGGTCCCAGATATTAATTGATAGCTGGCCTAGGCCTGTGAACGAGATAGGCAGTTGTGGGGATGAAATTTCAACCCTAAGCGAACTAGGGATTGTGCCTGCTATGCTCATAGAGACAGTTACTGTCCTCATCATGGTAACGAAACCACCAAAGAGCTACTGAGAGACAGTGCATTGCTGCTATGGTAATAGTCATTCGAGGTCGAGGCCGAGCTCGTTGAAAACATCTTCCTTCGATAAACTCATCATTTCACCAACCCTCGATACAATAGACATGCACTGAGAGAAACCGTCCGCACAGTCCGCGGGTGTAATCGTTACCAGCTTCCTGCGTTTAGCAAGAGTGTTGTGCAAGTCCCCGTATCTGAGGTAGCAACAGTTCGTTCCCTCAGAGAACAATAGAGCATGAATTGTGCTTGGGATGGTAGCTGACTTCGCCTGTGCCTCAGCAAGCTTTTGGCCGAGATCTGACACTCCTTCCTTTTTTCGCTCTCGCTGGATGTGCTCAACTTTCTCCTCCAACTCGCGGACCTACCCCGACTTCTTCCACTATCGTCTACTCCTCACCTTACACGCTTTCTATTATTGGCTACTTTCCCCTCCAGTTCGCCTTGACCACGAAGCTGAGTTATCTCCGCAGTAACTGCCTCCAAAGTCACCGTTAATTTGTTCCTCGCTATACCCCACCTTTGCCGAGAGCCCCTCTGACAGTCGGAAGTCTCTTCTCGACCTCCGCTACCTCGCGATTCAATTCCAAAACGCTTTCTGGCGAGCAGTCACCGAATAGTCTCTGGTTGCACAAGAAGACCTTCTGAGCACCATATCTGGGACCTTCACATTCGTATTGCAGTGCCACTCGTTGTTTACTCCTTCATGACTAGAGGTGGCTCTGCGTCCGAGCCTGGCTCTTTTGACAATTTTTCCATCAGATTTTGCACCTGAGTCTTCGACACGATGCCATGAAGGTTGTCAAAGACGTTCTGAGCGCTGTATGGTCGATTCTGTTCCTTCATGTACCTTTTATGAAGGAATGATATCCTGCTTCGCGCCGTATATTCTCACGCAGCAATCCTGGCCTCAGCCTCTTGCCCTTGAGGTTTTGAATTATCAGAGGAGCTCTTCGACTTAGGAGCAGCCTTCCTGTATTGTGCAGATGCGACAGTAATCGGAATCTTCCATTCGAAATCGCGTCTCACTTTTTCGGTTTTCCTTTAGCCTTCACCGCCTTCTTACAAGTAGTTGAGGAGTCAACACACATTTCTTGCTGTCAATAACGCGGTAGACGACGGTTGATGTAACGAACTCAGCACCTCCCAGTATACGAAAAAATAGTTACTTCGCGAGAAAAGTCTCACTGCGTAGGAGTCAACCATGCGGAAGCCAACGCGAGAGTACAAGGGCGTTACTACTGCCTGTCTTCATTCCGCCATGCCGCCTTCCATCTCAAGTCACCTGAGTCGAGGGGCCCATTGCTAGTCGACCCTGAGTCGGCAACTTTGTTATCCCTCTTCGTCTGGAAATAGACGATGAAGCTGGATACTGATGGATATTCATCATGTATCAAGCTTTCCTTCAGAAAGATTACAGACAGTACGAGCGCATGGGATTGTACTGCTGCGCCCAACTAGATACAGTGGCCTCCATTGCTTCTCACTGATGTGTTATTACTTGCCGAATGTGTTGTATTACTTGCCGAATGTGATTGTCACAGCACTGCCGTATTCATTCTACAAATTATCCTCATTGTGGACGCTTCAATAGAAAGCTCTCACTATGTACTCTAGTAACAGCTGGTAGAGCATATTACAGCACTTAACCATCCCAAGTTGTTAATGTAGAACTAAACCATGCAACGTGAGATCACCCTCGATGGATGATCAATAAGCTTTCGTCATCCTGAAGGAATCGTCAGGGGCTCGCGAAAGGGAGCGGTTCAGGAGAGTGCAGGAAATGGCCTAACGTAGTTAGCGATTATGCCATTCTATGGAGACTCTACACCAATATGTGGGGTCCCTATGCCAATATGTGGGGTCCCTATGCCAACCTGTGGGGTCCCTATGCCAACCTGTAGGGTCCCTATGCCAACCTGTGGGGTCGATATGCCAACCTGTGGGGTCTCTATGCCAACCTGTGGGGTCCCTATGCCAACTTGTAGGGTCCCTATGCCAACCTGTAGGGTCCCTATGCCAACCTGTGGGATCCCTATGCCACCCTGTGGGGTCCCTATGCCAATATGTGGGGTCCCTATGCCAACCTGTGGGGTCGCTATGCCAACCTGTGGGGTCTCTATGCCAACCTGTGGGGTCTCTATGCCAACCTGTGGGGTCCCTATGCCAACTTGTAGGGTCCCTATGCCAATCTATGGCATCAATTCACCAACCTACGGGGTCGCCGTCCCTTTCTACAGAGCCATTAGATCAAGGCCACAATACCCCATGTTGAGGATCGCTATTCCAGAGGCTATACGAAGTTGCTTGACCACTACACCATTTCAGGCTCTTCTGGAGGCTCTTCTGAAGGCTCCCCTACATCCCTCTGTGAAAAAGTTGTTACATCTGACTCAGATGATCTGAGTGAACAATGCGAAGAAGCCAGGTGTATATGATACCTGGCCAGCGCACAGGAGGGGAAGAATCATTAGGCGGGTACCCGAATGAAAAAGTGGAAGAACCCGATTAGCCACGTATGAACGCAATATTCATATGATCACCGCCTAACCACTTAGAGAATACTGAATACTTGAAATGCAGTTTATATCAAAAGTGTCACTTGACATGAACAAAATCGTCGGCATCCTTGGTGTCGGCTGAGGGGTGTCGCACAGTTATTTCCTTGTACGAAGGAGCTTCACCATCGGAGACTCTTGCTGAGGAGGCCGATCCTCGCGGAACGAACTGAACATGATATATGCATTATGCATATCTATGAGCCAATATTTCTTGTTCAATTTCCTTCACATCTACTACACGAACAGAGGTAACGCATTATAAAGTCCATAACAATGACTCACCTCCCAATCTCCTTCCTTTTTTGCAAGCGCTGGGTATTTTTCCTCATACTCCTGCGGGGTCATGCTAGGCCCGGAACTCTCGTCTATTGATTCCCTATCAGATCCTCCTCCATCTCGACTAAGCTTCTGAGAAGCAAATCAGTATGATGGGAGTGACTATGGATGAATCTCAATATCTCAGCCTTCATGAGTCCTCACCAAAAGTGCTTCGACTGTGGCCTGTTTATCTAGGTTCAACCCGAGATACAAATCTTGTATTAACTCGGAATCGAAGTTTGAAAACATATCCTTCAACTCGTCTAAGTCATTCTCCAACCTAGGACAGCGCCAAATGCACTGAGCTGCCAAGCTTAACACTTCTGACTTACTTCGTCGCAGCTTCTGCTTGATCCTGATGCTCATCTTCTTGCCTTGCTACTTCGATCTCGGCATCTTCCTCCTGGAGACCTTCGTACATCTTCTGCGAGTCCACAGCCAGACGTCTGGTAAGAACAAGTCTGATACCTTCTGTACCGTTGAAGATATCTCACCCATCATTGGCGCGGTAGTCTTCAACAATATCAGTGTAATTCAATCGAGGCTTCCTCACCTCCTTGCCTCGCTCATTTATCTTGTCACCTAGTAACATTAAAATTGCCTCCGTGCTAGCCTCGAGCGATATCACATAACTGGAAGCTAACCCCGCCGACAAGAATCACTAAGTACTACTAAGACTATATGAGGGACACCAAGTAAGCAATTTAACGATGATGCATGACGAAGCTCCATTCACCATAACAATAGCTCACCCCGCAATGAAATTTCCATTTCAATTGTGACTACTGCAACGATTTGAGATGATAACAATACCATCACGCTCCCAAATTCCTAGGTTAATCCTTACCTTCAGCTGGGCTTGTTGCTGTCTCCCCAGTCTCTTCACCTTTTGTAGAGTGATGCCCCTCTGGTTGTGAAAGCATATCTAATTAGATCGAACTTAAAATACTGAGAGGACCAGTCGTCTGTATCTGCCACTCAACTTGCTACTGCTTTTGCAACTTACTAGCGCTGAGAGGAAAAGACCCCGGGTTCGATCCGAGCACGTGACAATTTTACCATTTCTTTACAATCCACGAGCCACATTCAATACTTGAACTGATGATCTGCCAGCCCGACCATCACTCTGAAGATAGGCGTTATGCCCCGCAGAATGACGTATCTATCGTCTTTTCATGTTCAGTAACGCCGTTTCTTGAAGATTTTCCGATTTTTCGTGATTGTCGTTTCGGAAGGCTGTTCTCGTTGCCACGACAATACCATTGTCTCCGCAGATACCTGCTCAGCGGGTCGATGGTATCCTAATTCTCACTAGGGGGACCTATTCGGGAGTAACTATAGACATATTCGGGAAGGTGAAGGGCGGCTAGTAGAGAGTCTTGTGTTGAGAATAGAAATCCTTCGGAAATTCCTCTCATTGACGCCGCTCTGTTTCTGAGGTGTTTCCGAATATGAGTGTGAACCGTTTTAAGCGAGAGAATTTCGTGTTCCCTATGTCTAGCAAATAGCCTCGTTCATGAGTGCTCATGCCGGTGTATGCTCTAGATGTGGAAGTATCTTTCCACTATTACGCACTCTGAAGGTTTTTGCCTACTTCCCCCGATGGCTTTGCTAGCATCTTCGTTGCTATCGAACGTCTTTGGCGCCCCCTGCGAGTTGGACCTCCAAATCAACGCCGAGCCAAGTAGGAAGAAGGCACCAGTTACTCGAGATAAGAAGGGAGATCTTGGATACATTTTCACTGTAGTAGCTGTGGCGCACGCGGAAGATTTTGGGATATCTTTATATTGGCAGGACGGTGAGGACGTATGTGGTACAGCGACTGTCCGTTTAAAGGGTGATAAACGATTGGAGCATCAAGGCATCAGAGTTGAACTCATTGGGCAAGTGGGTAAGAAAAAGAATGATATCATGGTCTTGCATCGGACCTATTTTGCATCTTCCTTGCTGCGACCTTAGATATGCTTTACGACCGAACCAGCTCATACGACTTCTTCTCGATCACTAAGGATCTCGAACCCCCAGGAGTCCTCACTGAAACTAGGAGCTATAAGTGGAAGTAATAACTCTTTTCGGATTCCTGATATGTGATCGAGCGAATTCTGGGCTAACTGCGACCACGAGTACTCGTGCGGCTGAAGCCAGATGTTGATAAATAACTGCTAGATGAATCTGTTGTTGATGTTTTAGGTTCTCTTCGGTTGATAAGACATGCGAAACGTATAGTGGTATCAATGTCCGCCTCCGATACTTCGTGCGGTTAGTCGTGCAGAGGCCGTATGCTACGTAATGATGGGGGCAAGGTCGAGGCATGAGGAGCTTGCTATCAGGAATGTCTCAAAAGAGGTTGATTTTGCAGTGCAGTTGGCACAACCACAGCCTGAGATGAACACCGGTATCAAAATGGAGGTAGCTAATAGTGGTGACACGTGGAGTTCATTTTGTCACATAGGTGGGGATTGAAGATTGCCTTCACATTGAATTTGAGTATTCCCAGTCGAAGTTCAACTTGAAGGACGTTGTCGT